GGAGGGGAGATGTTGCATTGTGCTAAATTGTGGTCAATGTCATGAGACAAAGTGTATGTGAACTGCTGTATGGAAAGTGTATTTGCTCTGTAAATTTTCACCCAAATCACAATTTAAAAAAAAAGAAAGAAAGAAACCCTATGGGGCAGTCCCATCTGTCCTAGAGGGTTGCTATGAGTCGTAATCAACACAGTGGCAGAAAGTGGAATATATGTATGTATCCATACATGTATATGTATCCATAAACAATATATGCTATTTTCCATGTTCAAGTTTTTTTTTACATAAATGGTACCATGCTGTATTAAAAAAAAAAATTGAAATAGTAAAGTACAGAGAATAATATAAAACACCTATTTATACATCACCTGAAATAAATAAATGCATCTCAAAAAACAAAAAAAAAAGCTTCAGAGATAAAGAGTCAGTTACATACTAAGACAAATAATCTCTGTAGCCTCAAATTTCTCAGCAACAACTCTGGATATTGAAAAAGACAATGACTTCCAAATTCTGAGGAAAATACAATATTAACGTATAAATTTTTACCATAGCTAAACTATCAATGTAAGTGTGAAATAAAGAAATGTTTAACCATTAAAAAACTAGAAAGTTCACCTTCTACATATCCTTTCTGCACAAGTGTTTGATGATAGGTATACTATAGCAAAACTAAAACAAGAATAGGAAGTATGAAGCATAGACAGCAGTTAGTACAACTAAACTCAACATTCAACATCTATCATAAGACAGCTGGAAGATCTCAATAATTTGCTGAAAATGGCATAAAGAAAGGGAGAAATTGAAACTCATGGTCAAGGAAAGGAAAACTATAAAACAAAGTCTTGAAAAAGAAAACAAGGAACAAATTTAAATGCTACATGAGTCAAAGAAACTGATGGAATGAGATTACACTAGATACACATCTATTAGCAAAAATTATGATGGCTCAAAGGAGTGAGTCACTGGGCACTCGGGTTTGAGACCAGGGTCGTGGGAGAAATCAAGCTCAATTGGCATAACATACTTCATAAAAACATTGCTTTACTTCCTATTTTGGTGAGTAGCAACCAGGGGCTTGAAAGCTTGCAAACAGCCATCTAAGACGGAACAGTTTTGTCTCTCCTTGTCTGAAACAAAGAGGAATGAAGAAAACCAAAAATGAATAGAACCACTTAGTCTGAGGGACTAGTGGACTATGCAAATCTCAGCCTATGCAACCCTGAGACCAGAAGAACTAGATGGTACCCAGTTACCACTGTCACCCACTCAGAAAGGGATCAGTGTAGGAGATCCTGTATAAAGTAGGAGAAAAATGTGAAACAAAACTCAAAATCATAAAAAAGGCCAGTCTTACTGGTCTGATAGAGACTAAAACTTCCAAGACTACTGCCCCTAATCACCCTTCAGGCCTGGAATTGAACACACTCCAGTTGCTTCCCGCCAAACAATAGACAGGCCTACAAGGTGAACATTTGCACCAGATAGGTAAACTCCTTAGAACAATCAACCATGGGAGATCAGAAGGGCATTATTTGCATAAGGAGATAGCTTGGAGGGCAGGAACGCATAGGAAAGGACACAGGGAAAAGGTGGTCAAAGGAAAGAAGCAGGACTAGAGCTGTTGCACTGTGGGGCTACAATCAATGTCATGGAACAAAATGTGCATGAACTATTACAAGGAAAATGGATTTGCTCTGTAAACTTTTACCCAAATCACAATTAAAAAAAATATATATATGGTGATTTAAAAATTTCTTTATTGATACATTCATACCTAAAAAAAAAAAAAAAAACTGCCGTAGAGTCGGATCGAACTCATAGTGACCCCTCCTCGGGTTTCCAAGGTGGTATCACTATGAAAGTAGATTATCTAACCTTTCTCCCAAGGAGTGTCTGGTAGGTTTGAACTGCCAGCCTTCTGGTTAGTGGTCACATGCCTTAGGCACTACGCCACTAGAGCTCCTATTCATACCTAAGTCTGCATTAAATTTATTTACCTCATCAAAATTTGGAAAGACTCTTACTACTTTCTGATTTTCAGGATCAACCATATACATGAAATATATAACCATAGTCTCATAAGTTGAATGTAGATGTTTTAAACTTTGACAATAAAAATAATATTTTGATTTGAAAAAACTTAAGAACTAAAAGGAGATATGGTAAAGGAGTACATCATGGAGCACTTAATCTTCAGCTGGTGTAGTGCCTAAGGCATTTGGAGGTTCAAACCTACTCACTACTTCTCAGAAGAAAGACTGGGCAATCTACTTCCATAGTGATACCACTTTGGAAAACCAAGGAGGGGTCACTATGAGTCAGTTTCAACTCAAGGCAGTGAGTTTGGTTTGGAATCTTCAGCTTAAATAGTTGAAAGTCCAGAGATTCTATCTATACTTACTAGACAAAGAAATAGCTGTTTGAGTATATTAGTTAAAAGTAGCAACAAGGTTTTCCTCATATTGCTTTTTTACCTATAAGGCCTTCCTTTTAATATCCATCATACAAATCATATTTATCCCACAAACCTCATACCAATGCCCTATTTTCCCAAACAAACTCAAAGAATGGCAAATCTCTGTTTCTCCCAGCCTTCCTCTATAACAGTATTACTTCATCCATTACCTTCTGACTTGAATTACCATGCCTGGTGTACTTTTATTATCAGTTGATTAAAATATAAACCTTCTAGAAGTAGAACCCATGTCATATTCATCCTTTATAGTTTAGGAACAGGCAGTCTCTCTTTGGCCTATTCAAGCTATCTCAGTAACTTTTAGGAAGCAACAGTAGAATCCAAAATAGAAATGGGGGCAAAATAACAAAGAAATAATAAAGGTAAGTTGAAACACTCTCTCATGCTTAATCACACACTTAAGTACCTTGTAGTTTAAAAAGTGAGATTATTTTCATCGTTAAGTTACCTGTACTAGAAAGTGGGCCCCATTTTGAAGGAATGCATCATTTCTTATTGGTAATTTTGTAGTGACTTGAGGTCTTTGTTCTGGGAAAATGAGGCTATTTCTTCTGGATATATTTAAGATGCCATCTTTTGCTCGGAAAGTGTCCACAGGTCCAGCAGGAATATAAAGTGCAGAATAAAGCATCCTCACATCTCCTTTAGTTCCACCTTGTCTTGAAAAGCTCAAGGATAAAAATCGTTCACCTGGGCTGCTTTCAATCTTCTGATTTTCCATAGGAAAAAATGTTATTAGGCCATATACATCATCACTATCCTGAATGTAGAACAAAAGCTGCAAATAAAGGAATTAAATGTTAAAGTGCAGAATTCTCACAACTGAGCTTACTAAAGTATTTATTTTTTAAGGCTACTCTGGTCTTCAGCATTCATTTATTTATATATCATGTCTAAAAATGACTGCTTCTTATATGAAATAGAGTAAAAGATGAATCAAAACAGATTTGAAAACTATACTGAATTATACGTTTTGAGTTTTTTTGAGAATAAAACATTTATTTACAGAATGAACAACCTTGACCAAGGCAAGCAACAATCATTTTCATCATCAGTGTTCTTCCTGTCACATAAAACTTCAACATAAATTTCATGTATTTGCCCAAATTCTGTGGCTCTTTTATAATACAGAAATATTCACAAGAGTGAAGCATAACAAAAGGTCTACCTCTGCTGGAGCGCTCACTTCTGCTCCTCCACGTATTGTATGAGGCTGAATTTGAAGGAGATAAGCTTCAGCCTCTTCTGGAAGATCATCGTTCACAACAGTCAGAGAAATTGATGCCATCATCTGCCCTTGTGCAAAATGGAGAACTCCAGAGCTTGGTCTGATATCTGCTGTTACCGGTGAGGGATCACTGCTATTCCGTGTCAATACCCAGTTCACAGAAACATTACCGTGAGTGCCACCATTTCTGATCACTGTGATTTCTTCAAATCTAGAATGTTTTAAAATGAAATACATGGTCACATAATACACTCTATGACCCTTGGATAGCCTTTCCCAATGTCAAGTGGTCATCAGACTCTGTGAAAGCAGATCCATACCACAGAGTTAAATGCTTTTTAATATAAAGGAGTAGCTATGTGGATGAGTAATAGAGCACTATCATAATACTAATTCATCTGTGTATTTAAATCACATCTCAAATAAGAAAGAGAACAGTGAAGCCATGGTAAAGGAAATGACACATACTCTAACAGTCCAAGCAACTAATATGTCCAACACCACAAAAATTACATCTTGGGATAAATGGAAAAAAAAAAAAAAAAAACTCACTGCCATGGAGTCACATCCAACGCATAGCAATCCCTCCTTGGGTTTCCGAGGCAGTATCACTACAAAAGTAGATTGCCCAATCTTCCTTCCAAGGAGTGGCTGGTGGCTTCGAACCACCAGCCTTCTGGTTAGCAATCTTCCTTCCAAGGAGTGGCTGATGGATTTGAACCACTAGCCTTCTTGTTATCAGTCAAACGCCTTAGGCACTACACCACCAAAATTCCTACATCTTGGGAAAATATATTACAATAATTGTAGTAACAAGTTTAAAACAAACCATACCTTGAGACTGCATCTTCATCGATTATAATTGTCTTTTCGAATAAGATACTGTTGAATGAGAGGACCCCATAAGGTTTGTCGTTTGGCTTAATGGTGACTTGTACAATAGAAGGGCCTAATAGCACAGCATCTCCCTGTAAGGAATCTTTTAGTAAAACAATATGAAAGGATTCAGCAATCTCTGGTATGGCATCATCAATGATTTGAAATTTCAGATGTGATTCATAAACAAAAGGTAGAAAAACAATAGTTGTGTTTGGCTGAAGATCAATGAAATCTACATTTTGCTGGGCATGTGCTGTTGAATTCCCAGTTATAACAGCATAATTGATTGAAACTTCATATTCATCAGATCCAATCAAATTTCCATTATCATCCTTTCCACGAACTACAGGAATTGTGAGTATATGATCTTCCTCAGGGACCAAAAAGACACTCTGAGTAAATCTGACAGGACTATCATTTTTCCTAATGATGATCTCAACTGAGCTTCTAGAGATGTTGATCTCAGCTCCTCCTTCCAAACTTTTCAGCTGAATCAAAAATATTTCATCATTTTCGGGTACCTGTCAAAGAAATATAAATAAAGACAAAACATAAATACCCAAAAACATTCACAAGGAACAATGGTGTAAAGTCACTGTTTCAATATAATTACACAGAAATTTTTAAAAATCTTTAATTGAAGGGTGCAAACAAAAAACTATTTAGTCTCCACTTATTAAAATATTTTCTAAAGGTAAATAATGTGTTTTAGATAGGAAAGGAAAAATGAATAAGGCAATGGCATGAACAGATAAGAAAGTGTACTACCATATTTTTACACAAATAACCTGTGTATTAGTTTTATGCCAATTTTTTGTACAGTAACATGTAAAAAAATCATCATAGCACGGTTATGAAAATACCTTGAAGAACATCCTACGTTGGTGAGTAGCACTTGGGGTCTTAAAAGCTTTCAAGTGGCCATCCAAGATGCAGCTAAGAGCCTCCTAGCATCGGAAGCGAAGAAGAATGCAAAAAAAAAAAAAAAGGACATTTGGAAATAATCAGCCATAGGACACGATGGCCCTTGAGGCCAGAACTAGATGGTGCCCGGCTACAAATGCCAACCACTCAGGAAAGGATCAAATCTGGAGATCCTGGATAGAGTGGGAGGGAAAATGTGGAACAAAATCCAAAAACTCAATAATGACCAGAATTACTGGTCAGATGAAATCTGGTGAGAACCCCAATACTATGGCCCTGGAATACATTCTGTGCCTGGAATAAAAGGTTCCCCCAGGGGCTGGCTCTCAGCCCAATAGTTAACAAGATGAACAAGCAGACCACTCAACCCAGGATGATGCATCTACATACTCTATGGTAACACATCCCTTACAGCAATAGACCACAGGACACCAGAGGACCAACATTCAAATTGAGGAAATGCAGGACAAATAGGAGTGCACAAATATGAGGGGCATGTTGTTGTTGTTGTTATGTGCCTTCGAGTCAGACCCGACTCATAGCGACCTCTCTTTGGGTTTCTGAGGCAGTATCACTATGGAAGTAGATTGCCAACCTTCCTTCCGAGGAGTAGCTGGCGGGTTTGAACCGTCAGCTTTCTGGTTAGCAGTCAAATGCCTTACGCACTATGCTACCAGAGCTCCCATGAGGGGCATAAGGGGAGGGTTACAATGTAGGGAAGGGAGGAGACTGGGTTAGGCTTGGACATGGTAAATGGGGAATGAAACTAAATATACATGTAACATTGAATGTAAAACAAGCTCTAAAAATAAAAAAGGAAAATACCTTGGAGAGAGGGCGCAACTGGGGATAAAAAAAGTATAACCTATGTGTTATTTGCAAAAATAAATAAATAAATAAGGTAATGCCTTTCAACCTTGATCAGTCTTTAGATAACATAAAAATTACATAGTAATAACTGACACAAATTCTTATCAGCTTTACCAAGTTGGTAGAGTTAGAAGTAGCACTCAAAGTCTAATATCTCAGAATCTACAAAATTACATTAAATATCAAATAAAAATTATTAGTTTTCAGTCATGAGAATTATACTTGTTTCTGTCTGATTTTGAATTCTGGCATCAAGCATGTTACATGGCTTCCAAAACACATATAATACCTCTAAGAGTGAGGGTAAAACCAAAATATCTACAATTTTATATCTACAAATTATAACTTTTAATGTTCTGGGGTTTTAAAACAAAAGGGCTTTATTGCCTTATAGAAATAGATAAACTAGGGTTATCAATTCTACTAATATTTCTTTTTTTTTTCAAGAGAAATACTTTTTTCTAACGATGGCTCCTAATGCATTTATAGGGACTCTGGTGATGCAGTGGTTAAAGCATTCCATTGCTAACCAAAAGGTCGGCAGTTTGAAGACACCAGTCAGAAAGCAGGCACTACACCACCAGAGCTCCCCCACAAAGATTTATAGCTTTGGAAATCCTATAGAGTAGTTCTACTATGTCCTATAGAGTCACCATGAGTCTATGGTTTGTGTTTAATGCATTTATGTCTTTTTCCCATAGGGGTTTATTGTGATTTTGTTCTAGGATTTCTGTGGGAGAGTGAAGGGAAGGGTTATAAATTCCTAGCTATTCTCTATTGTGTGTGTGTGTTCCGGCAATACTTAAGCTGTAGTAGCTCCATGTTTAAAGTGCTCATCTGCTCACCAAAACATAAGTGGTTCTAACTCACTAGCCATTCCTTGAGAGAAAGATGTGGCAGTTTATTTCCGTAAAGATTTACAGCCTTAAAAACTCTAAGGGGCAGTTCTACTCTTTCTATAGCATGGGTCTCTAAGAGTTGGAATAGACTCCATGGCAGTTAAGTTTGGCAATACTTAGATTATTTTATAAAAAGTCACATTTTCTCTTTAGTTTATGAGGGACATCCTTGTATGTTATTGTTTAGATTTATTCTGTCCTTAGCATTAAACTAGCTATATCATATATCTCTATCCTTGGTAGCTTCAGTGTGAAATGTGAATTTTTAAATTACCCAAACAAAAGAATATCATTTGTGGTAGAATTTTCTTTGCTTTTATAGTAAAATGTTTATGCTAGATAAGTAGTACTGTGTTCAAAGTAGAAAACCACTATCAAAAATTAATCATCAGGGTTACCAAATGCTTAAATGTTTTTGTTATCTGTGGTTCCAAATTATACTCTTATTCATCAGCTTCTAGATGAATAATTTATGTGGATAAGTAAAGTAAGTATTAACATGATATATCCAAAATACTCAGCTATTTATAGTGAAAGTATGATTGGCCACAAAACACTAACTTCACCTTGCACTATATTTATAATCATTTCCAGTACTGAGCACAAGTTAATACTTGATGTAACCTCTCTAACACGTCTATAACATAGAGCCCTTGTCCCATATAGGTATTTAACACCATCCTACCTCATCATCAAGCACCGTCAAATTATAAATTATGGTGGCTCTGCCAGGAGGGAAGGTGATATTTCCTTTAACTGGACTCAAATCTTCTTCTGGTGGATTTGGGCTATCTTCTACCTGCAAAGAAATGTAGTGCCATCAATAAATACATAATGTTTTATAAGACTAAGAAAACATTATTGTGAAGTCAGCTGACAAAAAATCGGAAGTTTATTTTAAAAAGCTTTACAAGACAAGTTATACTAACCTGTATGTAAGTCTGCCATTATAGATTAAGAACAGCCAAAGCCTATAATATATTTAATCATTTTGACTACAATTATAACAAACTATGTATTTCGTAAGAGTTCTCTATTTTTTCTCAACCAATAAGCCTGAGAAAAAGCTACAAAGATCTCTTCTTGAGAGGAAGAATTTTCAAGATCAGTATATTCTCGTAAATAACAGAATCAAATAATAGCTACACCGCTGACTGCTGGCCTTGGGCAAGTTATGTAACAACTCTGCACAGCATTTTCCCTATCTTTAAAATGAGCTTATGACTATACACTTCACACACTCGATGTGAAGATTTAAGGAAATCATTCATTTTAAAATTTGAGCACTCTGACCTCTTCTTCATACTAAGGATATATATAGCAGTGAACAGAGCAAACTTCCTCCCCACATGGACCTTATGTTTAATGGAAAGGAATGAATAACCAACAAATAAATGTATATCAACATATCCGATGATAACGTATATGGAGAAAAAAATTAAAAAGAACATAAGGGAAAAATGAGTGCTGGGAAGAGTTGCTACTACTATGATAGAGTGATGATCAGTGAAAAACACTTAGGAAAAGTATGGCACAATTAATAATAATAATAATAAAAGGTCCACTGTCATCTAGTCAACTCTGACTCAAAGAGACTCTATAGGACACAGTAGAACTGCCCCATAGGGTTTCCAAGGCTGCAAATCTTTATGGAAACACACAGCCACATCCTTCTCCTGTGGAACAGCTGATGGGGTCAAACCAGTGACTTTTCAGTTAGCATACCAGAGCTTTAACCTCTGTACCACCACGGTTCCTATGATGGTGTTAAGTGCTACACAAATGTTAGCTATAATTATTTACACAAAACTAAAACCTAAAGACCAAATAGAACATCTTCAAACATCAATAGAGAGTTTAAAACACTATCACCTGGAAGTCTTACTTTTCCTAAAGACAATTTTTCCAAATTGTTCCATACTGTTCATAAGAAATATTTTTAAATGTATTATCTCAATTCATATTCCCAAGTACACGAAATATTACTTGAGACTTACTGTGTGGAACATGCAAGACTACTGCATGTTTATTTAGTGTTTACTATGTTTTTCATGCATTATTGCCTTCTCACATTTTATTTTCTTATGTAATTATCACAGCCACCATATGATATAGGTACCCATAAACATAAGTAAACTTATGTGTTAGTAGAAATATGTAACATAAATCCAAATACCATTTTATTGATATTGCAAGTATTAATTAAAATAGAAGCAGGACCAGAATGCACAAATGTTTCAGAATTGTGTATGATCATATTCTGGGTCTCCTAAAGCATAAAAAAATCAGGTAAACATTTAAATTTGTATCTCACAGAACAACAAGGTGGTGATACAAATGGTACACATGTGATCAGTAAGCAATAAAATGGAATGGTTACAGCTGGCATCCTGAGAAATGCACCCCACCTACAGCCTGTTTATTCATGCCACATCCTGTAACATGGATGGATCTCCACGGCAGAGTGCAACTGCTATCAATACCATCCATTAAGTGTGTTTAAAAAAAATAAGGAATATTTACAAAGACAACATTTTGAACACAGTGAAACCTATGAAAGCCGGAACTCAATGGGACTGCCTTATTTTTCCAGGTCTCGAGTGTTTTCAACCTTTGACAAAGTGGAAAACTTTTACTATCACTTGTTTTAGTGGAAAATATTTGAGCTTTCCATCTTTGACAGGTTTCTGCCTTATACAGTTGCTGACTTTAGCAGTTTTTATGTAATCCTAAATAATCCATGAGCATTTTTAAAAATTATATACTTGAAAAGGTTTATCATAAAGGTTTTTGTGAATTTTATAGAATTGGCATTTTATTTCTATCTTTTGATTTATTACTACCCTAAATCTAAAATGATATTTTGTGTTTTGTGCAAGCATGGTATATTAAAGTAGCAAAGAAAACATTTAATATTAATCATAAAATTTATCAGACAATAAAAGTATTTTTTTTATTTTTATGAAATGTCATATTTATTATACAAAAGAAACTTGATTAAAACTCTAGCCACCTAATAGGAACTCTAAGGTGTTATTTTTTAAAACTATTTCAGAGTAAACTTACCTCAAAAGTCACAGTGACTGTTCCATATGTTCCTTTTTCCCGAATCAGAGTAAGAGGCACAGACTCATTTCTGCCCCTGGGCTCACTCACTGTGACTGAGGAAGGCTATTGAGAAAATCAATCAGAGGTAGAAGGAAATACAAGTTGTTACCTTAGAAATGCTAAATTTCCATATACAGATCAATATGCACTGTACTCTAAGAATGTGGTATTTCTTAGCATTAATTATCTGTAGCTAATAAAAACATTTAAAAAGTTATCAATAATACTGCAAAGGGAACATATGACTAGTCAAACAAGAGATGTAGGTTCTTGTCCTGGTTCTACCATGAACAGAATGTTCCACTAAGCAATCATATCTAGTCCAGAGATGACCAACTCATGAAGTCATGAGTTTCATGAAAATGAGTAAAGCTACCAGTTCAGATAACTCAGTGTACCACCACTCAGCCCAGCTCCTATCAGCAATTCCCTTCTCAATTATCAGCATGCCACTAAAAAGCAGACAACTGCTAATGACTTTTTCAGATACTGATCACTTATTGGGGGTGGGGTGGAAATGAGACAAAATTTCAAATATTAAAACCTGCCAGCTTGGCTGGCTGAAACTCAGAATAGACCAGGAGGAACAGGGAAACAGCCAGGTACACAGCTGCAAAGACAGCAGCTCTCAAGGTGACACTAAGTATCAGTATTTCCCTCCATAAATGGAGACAGTAATGCCTGTCTCAAGGGCTGTAATGAAGTTTCAATGAGAAAACAGATAAAGTGCTTACCCTAGTGCTTGGCACATGATTATACTTTTATTGTAATTAAATGAGTAAGGGCTCAATAACTGTTGACTAATACAATCATCATCATCTTCCTCATCAAGCTAGGAATGACAGCCAGGCTACTGAGCCCCTACTGTGTGCACAACAGATGTTGTTAGTTGCCATTGACTCCATTTGACTCATAATGACCCCACATGATGAGGAGAACAGCCCTATAGAGTTTTCTAGGCTGTAATCTTTATGAAAGTAGATCAGGCTTTCTGCCTCAGAGTCTCTGGGTGGGTTCAAATAAACAACCTTTTAGTTAGCAGGTAAATGCTTAACCACTGCACCACCTGGGATCCGTGCTCAACAGATAATTTAATTTTAAATATGTAGGTCAGGTGTGCAGTCAGAGGCTGCCTGGCAGTACTGAGTCCACACCAGTCAGGGACTTGCAACCAAGGCCAAAAGCTAAGATATATAATGGCAAATCCAATTTATGAGGATGGAAGTGCTAGGTTTGGAGGGGAGGAAAGGAAGTGTGGAGAGTAATCATTTTAGTTCCTTTCCAAATTTTCTCAAGTCCTGAACATAAGGTTTATAGATTGTAGTTCAAGCATAGTAGCTATGTTCAAAATGACTTTAAAAAAAAAAAAACTCAACAAAATTTAAGCAGCTCAAGTAACATTACTGCATAATTAACTAATAATTCCCTACTATACCATGCTTCTCAAAGTAGAGTGTCAACGAAGAAGGGGAAGGCCCTCAATGAGATGGATAAACACAGTGGCTGCAACTATGGACTCAGGTATAGCAAGGATCGTGAAGCTGGCACAAGACCAGGCAGTGTTTCGTTCTGCTGTGCAAAGGGTCGCTGTGAGTCGGAGACAACTCAACAGCACCTAACAACAACAATTCCCTACTGTTCAAAGAGAAATTATGAATTAATTAGTTTTGTAAATGAAGATAATATATCCATTGTCGTCGATTCAGACTCATAGCAACTACGTAGGAGGAGAACTGCCTTACAGGGTTCCGTAGGCTGTAATCTTTACAGAAGCAGACTGCTTGTCTTTCTCCTGTGTAGCAGCTGGTGGGTCTGACCACCGACTTTTCAATTAGCAGCCAGTTAGCGCTTTAACCACTGTACCACCAAAGCTCCTTAAAGATGTAATACTCAAAACTCAAACCAAACTCACTGCCATCGAGTCAATTCAGACACATAGCGACCTCCACTTGATTTCCAAGGCTATAAATCTTTACAGAAATAGACTGCCTAATCTTTCTTACACAGAACCTCTGGTGGGTTTGAACCACTAACCTTTTGGTTAGCAGCTAAAAGCCTTAACCACTGTATCACCAGAGCTCCTTTGAAGATATAATAGAAGTTACAAAATGTCTAATAAATATATCTTTTCACTTAAAATGCTGAAAGTATAAAAACTATATTTACGTACAGCGTATCTTATTTCAACAGTAACTGAAAGTACCAAGAAATTATATGCAGTGCTACTAACTGTAGTAGCCATTTAAATTACAAAATAAATTAAAAGTTGGGGAGTATTATATCATATTTAATTAATGATAATTAATAGCATGATTCAAAAAGACTCCATATCAGGAAGTTTATGGTAGTCTAAAACTAAATGACCAAATCCAGTTGTTTTGGAGATAAATTTAGTTTTAAAAGTTGGAAACATTTTCTCTCAAGGAGAGACTTGACTTGAGCATTAATTTCTAAAGATAAAACCCTCTGAATATAGTTAGGATTGGCCAGAGGCACTGGAATTTGGTAGTAAGGGAGAGAAAATGAAACGCTGAGCAAAACTGAGGGGGATAAGGGTTAACCTTCAAGAAATACCAGTTAACAAGAAAAATCCCAGGGTAGAGATTTACTATAGAATTTTTAAGAACTGTTCTGTCTGCTTTGTAATTTTAAGTTTTTTATATGCTGTTTTCAATATTCTTTCAATATGTATTCTTGTCTCCCAGTCATCAAAACCTGCAGAAGTCTCAGACAGACAAGATCTTCTTTAAGCAGTATTTGGAGAAATCAAGCAAAAGGCACTGGGTTACATACTTGAGTTAAAGAGAGATAACAAATGAGTCAGGTGCATGATCAGCAGATAGAGGAATCAGGACAAGAGCTAACCATGACAATGTTGGCCTCCTTAATTCACAGAAACTTTAGGTAGGAAAAAAAAAACGTTCTGCAGGATATGGAATTTTATTTAAACATCAAGACAGGATGATACTAGCTGACGTCATGTAACGTAATCAGAAAATTTAATAAACTTATCTAGCAACCACAGATTAATCAAATTGTACTCATACCATATTAAATGAAATAATCCCAAAGGCATTGTCATTTGATAATATTGTTACAGTAACAGTCCTTGGCCATCCAAGCTTCACGTTTGCTGAGGGGTTCTAAAATAAAAGCCCAACGATAAAATAATAAATTACAAATAACAAGAAAAAATAATGATTTTAATAGAATTTCTAAGGAACTATCCAGAACATGAATAAAAACACAAGTATACTTTTATAGCACACATTAAGGAAACATTCAAAATAACATTGTGGGAAAACAACAACAACAACAAAAAAGCCCCAAATAAGAACTCATCAAAAAAATTTGAGGAACACTAATTGCTATTAGGGAGCTCTGGTAGCATAGTGGCTAAGACACTTGCCTGCTAACCAGACGGCTGGCGGTTCAAACCCACCAGCCACTCCTTAGAAGGAAGGTTGGGCAATCCTACTTCCGTAGTGATACTGCCTCGGAAACCCAAGGAGGGGTCGCTATGAGTCGGGTTTGACTCGACGGCACATAACAACAACAACAATTGCTATTAATAATTACATTATAAATAAACACTGGGTTGTTATTATTATGTGCCATCGAGTCATCTCTGACTCATAGCGACCCCTCCTTGGGTTTCCAAGGCAGTAGCACTACAGAGGTAGATTGCCCGACCTTCCTTCCGAGGAGTGGCTGGTGGGTTTGAACCGCCATCCTTCTGGCTAGCAGTCAAGCACCTTAGGCACTTCGCCACCAGAGCTCCAAAACACTGGGTAGTAATACTATAATACTATTATCATTATAATTATTTATGGTGTCATCATTATAAATTTGGTACCCATCATGAAATTCTATTCAAACGTATCGTTTTTCCTTCTTCTGTAGAAGGTACCGAAAGTTAAGAATTAGTTATTCTATAAATCATAAAGTAAAATTAAAGATAAAATATTAAAGCAAACTTCTCTATGAAAGTGAGGAGAGTTTTCTGTAACATTTCAGCATTAATTAATTAAAGAGTGATTAATTAATTAAAGAGTGATTTACAAAACATGACTGCTTCAAGACTCATTTCCACGAAAATTTTACTCATATGAACATAATCTTTCAAAAACATATTCTCAGAAAAATGAACCACAACATTTTGAACAGCCATTGTTTGCTAAGACCAATGATAAATGCCATAAGGGTAATTAAACCTAAGATAATTCAAGTATTCAGATATTTTTCCCCGGGGATACTCTGAACTTATTCTAAGGCACTGAGACCTCCCATTTCTATGCTTGCTTTTTATATACTCCTCCTTTGAATTCAGGAGTCACAGTCATTCTCTGTGCATCTGGTAGCAGTGGGAGGATGAAAGAGAAAAAAGCCAAAGAGAACACAAGGTTTTCTTGAGTGTTCATCACAGCAATTCTTAAATAAGCTGCACAGATCTGAAAACTAGCTATAGGACTTTTTAAAGATAATCTGAGGAATACCAGACTGTGGAACTGCCAAAAAGATGGTCAGTACCGGCTTCTGTAAAAACCATCACCAGTCAACTGCACTGGCTTATCTCTAAAGAGAAATTAACTCCTTACGTTTCGTAGGATGTTTATGAGGTTAAAGTTAATGGAAAAAGGACTTACCTGTAATGTTAAGTGAAAAATAAAAGTTTCATCAGGCTCTGGTAGGTCATCATCACATACAGCTATGTACACTGTCCTATTTGTTTCTCCAGTGGGTATAAAAGCTGCAGCATATGTGTCAAAAAAGTCCCCAGTGTCTTCACCATACAGCTATCAAATGCAAAAAATAAAATTAAAAAAAATGTAGTTCGTACAAAATACGTTAGAACAAGTAAAAACGATGCTAATCTGAACAATCAACAACAAAAGAAAAAAGAATCATTAAGTGCCACTGGCACTTACAAATGTTGTTAGGTGCCATCCAGTTGGCTCCAACTCATAGTGACCCTATGCACAACAAAACAAAACAATGCCCCGTTCCCATACCAGCCTCACAATCCTTACTAGACTTGAACCCAATGCTGCAACCACTATCTCAATCCATCTCATCGAGGGCCTTCCCCTTTTTCTTTGATCCTCCACTTTAACAAACATGATATCCTTCTCCAGGGAATGATCCCTTCTGACAGCATAACCAAAGTAGTTGAGATGAACTCTGGCCATTCTCACCTCCAAGAAGCATTCTGGCTGCACTTCCTCAAGGACAGATTTGTTCATTGTTCTGGCAGTCCATGGTACTTTCAGTATTCTTCACCAGCACAACAACTCAAAATCATCTACTCTTCTTTGGTCTTTCTTATTCATTGTCCAGCTCTCACATGCATATGAGGCAACTGAAAACACCACAGCTTGGGTTTTCAAGTTGTCTCTGACTCATAGAAACCTTATGCACAACATAACAAAACACTGCCTGGTCCTGTGCCAGCCTCACAATCCCTAGTATACCTGAGTCCATCACTGCAGCCACCATGTCAATCCATCTTGTTGAAGGTCTTCCCCTCTTTCATTGACTCTCCACTTTACCAAGTGTGACATCCTTCTCCAGAGAATGATTCCTTCTGGCAACATGACCAAAGTAGGTGAGATAAAGTCTAGTCATTCTCACTTCCAAGAAGCATGCCAGCTGCACTTCTTCCAGGACAGATTTGCTAATTCTTTTAGCAGTCCATGGTTAAGCTTGGGTTAAAAAAAAAAAAATCCTCACTGCCATCAAGTCAGATTCAACTCATAGAGACCCCTCTTGGGTTTCCAAGGCAGTATCACTACTGTAGTAGACTGCTCTATCTTCCTCCCGAGGAGTGGCTGGTGGGTTTGAACCCCCAGCCTTCTGGTTAGCAGTCAAATGCCTTAGGCACTACACCACCAGGGCTCCCTTAATCTTCAAAGAGATATCTTTGCACTACAACACTTTAATGAGGTCTTTTGCAACAGATTTCCCCAGTCCAATATATCATCTGATTTCTTAACTGCTGCTTCCATTGGTGTTGATTGTAGAACCAAGTAATATGAAATCTTTGACAACTTCAGTCTTTTCTCCATTTACTGTGATGCTGCTTATTGGTCCAGTTGTGAGGATTTTTGTTTTCTTTATGTTAATCCATCCTGGAGTCTTTAATCTCCATCAGTAGGTGCTTCAAGTCATCTTCACTTTCAGCAAGCAAGGTTACTGATAACTCTTCCTCCAATCCTGATGCCATGTTCTTCTTCATATAGTCCAGCTTCTCAGATTATTTGCTCAGCATACAGATTGAATAAG